TTCGGGTGATTGTCCATTGCAATCATGGCTTTGGTTGGTTGTTCTTTTTCACTGTACGTCCGCAGACACATTCTGACTCAGACAGTAGCTTTGTGCCCCGCCAGCTTCTTGTTCCATGCCTACCATGGTGTTTTTGTACAGACAGCACTTCAGACAGAAGTAGTCTATGCTGTAGTCGGCAATCATTCGTTTTGGTACAGAGTGGGACATGTAGGGGGTGATGTTACTGTAGTCGAACGGGGAGACGGACGTGTAGTTCAGTTTTGGGCACGCGTACGGTGCTGCAGGGATTATGTATAGATGTAGTAGTACCTCTTCGGGCTCTTGTATACCTTTTTCTTGCTACGTGTGCGTGTTCTTTAGACCTCAGATGGCTCTAGCACTTTCGTGACCACGGGCCGAGAGTCTTTGCTAGATTTTGGCATTTAGCAACTGGCATACGGTTTAATGTGAAGCCAACAACAACAACAACCGTACACAACCTACCTTGGCCTAACACACAGTTTCACCGTCCTTGTCCGTTTGCATACAATCATCAGGCGTACGCATACATACTGATACACGACCCACATTTAGGGTCGAGCAGGAATTGTTTTCACATCAATGATCGTATGTATGCGATCGTAATTCTTGCATCAATCAGAAAATGAGAGCCAACACAGGGACAAATGTTCTGAATGCATACAATAGTTGTATGCAAACGGTAAATTACTCGTTTGTTTCGGTCTAAGCATCACCGATCACAGGGATTCACAGCCGGGCACCTTCTTGACTTACCGTTGTAAGGATTCGGGTCTTGGTACGGATCGGCTACACGGCACAGGCCGGAGTCTTGGCACAGGGGGTGCGGAAAAATGTCGGATTTCGAGAGATTTACAGTAATTGATTGTCGCACAGGTATCGTTCACTTCACACAGGGGTGTGCAGAGACCCCGATACCTTCGGCGAAGTTGGGTGATACCGTGTCATCGAGCTTTTGTCACGGGTCACTGATGTACCAAGGTGCATTGCTTGTATCAGGGGCTCCACTGCTGTACTTTGGCATCGTAACGTTGCTCACGTGCAGCTGATGTTGTTCAGCATTGTCATTATTGTCGGAATCGGCTCACGGTTTCTACTCAATCAACCAATGCGTACAAACTACACGAGACCAAACTGCCACAACCAACTACGGTACTACAAGTAATACAGACTCCGCGTTTGCTACCTCTGATATCGTGGCCAACGTGTTGCTTGTGTGTAGTGCGTGCGTGAGCACAGACCTCTGCATTGGGGAATTTCACGGTAATTCGCCGCCTCGCCGCCTCGGATTTTCATTTCGCCGCATTTCGCCGATTGGAGTACTGTTGTACCGTATGTGTTCAGGTGTGCTGGTGTGCTGATGTGTTGTGTCTGTGTTCGTCATGTTGTGGTCCTGATGCTGCAATACCTGCACACGCACACGAAGTGCTGGTGTATGTCTGCTGCGATTTGTTCAGGACCGCACACATCAGAGTTTTGGCACGGGGGTGTGCGTTCGCCCCACTAGACGCCTAGAGTACTTACTACTCAGAATCAGGGATCGGAGTCATCGCACGGGGGTGTGCGTCATATTTTCAGGACCAAACATTCAATTCATGTCCCGCACAAGTGTATCGGGTACATAGGAAGGGAGCGGGGGGCGCAAAAGGGTGACAACCCCCGATGTTCGCCTCACGGAGCTTGCACCATAATGACGGAGTAGCTTTCGTTGTTGGGCACGTCAGCGTGCGGGTGAGGCATCATGCGGTGTTCATGCATTGTTTGTTTCAGCCCTCACTCATGAGGGGGGTACAGGACCTTGTAGCGATAGCGAGACGTTGCCGCTGGATACATTTCGCTTCTAGGGAGTGGCCTTACGTGCAGCCGTCGGTAGTGAGAATCGGGGTTGAGTACGGGGGTCGAGTGCGTTTGTATATATATTTGGAACGTTGTGTAGTATGCAAGCAGAGAAATAATAAGAAATTGCCGATTTAAGAAATTCAGCAGGATTTGGCTGCACGAAAAAATAAGAAACTTGAAATAAGAAACTGAACGACATACGCTGAGTTAATAGCCCAGAATAAGAATTCGAGGCTGGACCTGAAATAAGCGTGTCTGAACTGCGGGCGCCCACTGTAGCATTTTTGTGACCACGGACTGCGTCTTTGCTAGATTTTGGGATTAGCAACTGCACGAGTTTAAGAAGAAAACAACAACAACAACAACAACAACAACAACAACAACAACAACAACAATAGACTTACTTGTCGTTGGTTTCTATTGACTTGCGGACAGTTTATTTGGGTGTTACACGTTGTTAGGGTAAGTTAGCCTGTGACCACGGGAATCGTCCGCGTCAAGTGTTGGATCATTACGGACGTATGAAGGTGCTGGCTAGGGAGAGATCGGAACGGTTTTTGATGTGAAGACAACAACAACAACAACAACAACAACAACAACAACAACAACAACAACAACAACAACAACAAATACATATGCATGCGTGCATACCATCTATTGCACACATCTATCTGTGTCTCCCTTGCAATTCCGGCGGGACCTTTTGCATATTTTCCAAAAGTGTAGTCTACTCTCGAGCGTGCCGCACGCCATCTCTACCACAAAGTCTACGTAAAGTACACGACAGGTCAACCATGGGTATCCTGAGATGCCCTTCCGAGCATGTAGTGGCCGATCGGACCAATCGTTCCACGGACCTTTGATTGAAAGTCGAATGATTTTTTTTCCTAATATCACACAACAAATCCATCTCTATCTATAGAAATAAGTCTAAGATAGATTTGCAATGAATCCATAGCGTGAGCGAAAGGTTACCTGTATGTCTACGGTTTCCCAGACAGCATACAACGATAACTCCCCTGTGGGTAACAGGCTCAACAAGGCAGTTTGGTAGCCATCTTGTGTATCTTCTATCTGTATGTTTTGTTGGGAAGCTGTAGCCGGAAGATTTAGGGGAACTCGGTTTGTCGGGTGTTCTATTATAGCGCCCTTATTAGACTATGTGTTTGCGGAGCAAGCGCGTCTCGGGGTGTGTATATTATCGTCATCAACTTATTTTTTGTGTGTGATGTATGGGGGCATGTGCGGCGCGGGAGAACATATTTCCCTTGTTGTGTAATGGCATGTCGTTCAATGTGAGAAGGGCACGGAAGAACATTATCTCATAATTGCCTCCTGACGTGGCCGCCGATAGAGGCGTGTGGTTGGGGTTTCATCACTGACCTGTGGGTGTGTGTTAAATGCAGTGGGTATGATCGCCTCTCTCGCCCGTGTGTCGGCAGAAGGTATAGCTACCTTTCCCATTTATTTTTAGGCAGCGCGGACCATACGTAAAGACAGAGTGTGTCATTTCATGCATCTACTGCTGTATACATCGTTTGTAGATTATGTTGTTGTTGTTGTTGTTGTTGTTGTTGTCCATGCGTGCACCGAAAGCTCCAAGTAGATTATTTGCGAACCCACGCCTTCCCCATTCCTCCCTCTCCCTTCAGACACTTTTATTACTCTACACGCACACACCCTCTCCAACCAATCCATCTCCCATTATCCTCAACTGGCTGTAATTTATTTTTTGCATTGATCGCGCTAACGGGGTGACCAATGAAAGGCGTTAGCCTCAGTACGGTTGGAAACAGGAAATGCTTCGGAAGGTCATGAACCTAGGGCCCCGTGAGGGGGTAGGCAAAGCTGCTCCCTCGGCGGAGTGAAGTCAGAAACGGTGGTAGCATCAGAAGAACACCCTACGTTTTACCAAGACTGCTACTTTGCACTCGTATTTGTTTCGAACCCATTCGCATGTTGTTGCTGCTTTCATACTCTTCCTTGCATTCACCACGCACGCCGTTCGCCTGTTGCTACTGCTGTACTTACATTCCACTATTTTTGGAACTCTCATCTCCTCTGGTGTTTTTTGTCCTTTCCATACTTCGACTATGACACAACAAATCCATCACCTCCACAAGAAAGAGTCTGGGATAGATCAGTCTAACAATGAATTCATGCAATGTAGAAACTGCCTGTGTTTCTACGATTCCCCGAGAAACTTACAGCGATACCCCCCACTGGGTACTACCTGGCATGCGACAAAGCGCTTTCCCGCATACAGAAAGCGAACGCGAACGAACGCGCCGGTAATTTATCGCGGTTGTCGTCATTACTTCGAGCATATCATCAGTGTCTCGCCCGAAGGTCTGCCTAAGCAAAGAAGAAAAGTTTACATGTTGTACGAAAAAAGTCCTAGACAGTGGTCTACCGCGCCCGAGCTCCTCGAGCCGCTGCAACACCACCGCGCCATGATTAGAATCAGCGAAGTTGGGGCTATGGGCCTCCCGTCATTACTGCGTGCCCGCCCGACGCCGACCGTCGAAGCACCTTTCGATTTGTAGTTACTTGTTCTGCGTCCGTTTGCACCCACCCTCCAGTTCCGCGCCCGCCTCACCCCCCCCAGCGTTGGCCACTTGTTTGCCGAACGCGGCCCCATTGTGCTAAAGTTTTTCGGAGGTCAAAATCTTCTTTTGTCGGCAACGCGTGCAGTGATACGTAAGGGAGTAGCACACGATGACGTTACTGCCCGACGTCGCCTNTTAGGCAGCGCGGACCATACGTAAAGACAGAGTGTGTCATTTCATGCATCTACTGCTGTATACATCGTTTGTAGATTATGTTGTTGTTGTTGTTGTTGTTGTTGTTGTCCATGCGTGCACCGAAAGCTCCAAGTAGATTATTTGCGAACCCACGCCTTCCCCATTCCTCCCTCTCCCTTCAGACACTTTTATTACTCTACACGCACACACCCTCTCCAACCAATCCATCTCCCATTATCCTCAACTGGCTGTAATTTATTTTTTGCATTGATCGCGCTAACGGGGTGACCAATGAAAGGCGTTAGCCTCAGTACGGTTGGAAACAGGAAATGCTTCGGAAGGTCATGAACCTAGGGCCCCGTGAGGGGGTAGGCAAAGCTGCTCCCTCGGCGGAGTGAAGTCAGAAACGGTGGTAGCATCAGAAGAACACCCTACGTTTTACCAAGACTGCTACTTTGCACTCGTATTTGTTTCGAACCCATTCGCATGTTGTTGCTGCTTTCATACTCTTCCTTGCATTCACCACGCACGCCGTTCGCCTGTTGCTACTGCTGTACTTACATTCCACTATTTTTGGAACTCTCATCTCCTCTGGTGTTTTTTGTCCTTTCCATACTTCGACTATGACACAACAAATCCATCACCTCCACAAGAAAGAGTCTGGGATAGATCAGTCTAACAATGAATTCATGCAATGTAGAAACTGCCTGTGTTTCTACGATTCCCCGAGAAACTTACAGCGATACCCCCCACTGGGTACTACCTGGCATGCGACAAAGCGCTTTCCCGCATACAGAAAGCGAACGCGAACGAACGCGCCGGTAATTTATCGCGGTTGTCGTCATTACTTCGAGCATATCATCAGTGTCTCGCCCGAAGGTCTGCCTAAGCAAAGAAGAAAAGTTTACATGTTGTACGAAAAAAGTCCTAGACAGTGGTCTACCGCGCCCGAGCTCCTCGAGCCGCTGCAACACCACCGCGCCATGATTAGAATCAGCGAAGTTGGGGCTATGGGCCTCCCGTCATTACTGCGTGCCCGCCCGACGCCGACCGTCGAAGCACCTTTCGATTTGTAGTTACTTGTTCTGCGTCCGTTTGCACCCACCCTCCAGTTCCGCGCCCGCCTCACCCCCCCCAGCGTTGGCCACTTGTTTGCCGAACGCGGCCCCATTGTGCTAAAGTTTTTCGGAGGTCAAAATCTTCTTTTGTCGGCAACGCGTGCAGTGATACGTAAGGGAGTAGCACACGATGACGTTACTGCCCGACGTCGCCTCCGACATACGAACGTAGTTGGCCCGAGAATGAACTTGTGTTTCCATTTTTTTAAGGGTTTCTGAAATTCCGCTTGGAGGTCTGTTTTTGGCCGTTGTTAATGTTGTCATCCCAGACACGCTCTACTAAAGCAACGATATCCACAACTTTCTGTGCGTTCGCGGAAACACCAGGGCGGCATCAGGAGGAAGACCGCCCGGGTTGTTTATTAGTTCGTTTGTGCTTGTTTCTTGTGTACACAAGAGGGGTGTTTCTAAGTTCGTTTGTGTTTTTTCTTAAGCTTTCACGGTCGACGACGGAACGTGCACTGCGGCTGAATACTTGTCATCCAAACAGGATAGGGCCAGCGCGTACCCAAATAAAGCGGAGAAATGTTTACAGACGAAAACATGGTCTACTGCTGCATGCTGTACGTCTCTCGTCATTCACAGCCACGAGAGAAGCGAGATCCCTGGGCTACTGTATTATGTGCTGTTGTTGCGTGCATCTGCTGTCATCCAGGGCACTGTTGTGCATGTGTGTTGCTGTGTCAAGACCGCGACTAGTAGGGCTGCTGTTGTTGTTGTGTGCATCTGTTGCCACCCCGCAGGGCATTGTTGTTCATGTTCGTAACTCCCGACCGTAGTTGTGCACCTGCTGTCGACCCGCAGGGCATTGTTGTGCATGTATCAAGAGCACCCCACCCACCCACCCACCCACCGTCCTATCGCCTCTCCAGGTACACAATGTACACCAAAGGGCTCTCATCGCTCGCTCTTCTCCTGATCCCGGGTGCCTGCCATGGCCTGATCGAGACGTGCGACGACCTCCTGGCGGCGTTCGAGCAGACCCAGACAGAGGACGTAGTCGTCGAGATGCACCCGTTCGCCGATATCGAGTGCGAAACCTTCACGAACATGACCATGACGTCGAACTCGCTGACGGTGAGCTCGAGCGAGAATATCGACAACTTTTCCGGCAGCAGCAGCCTCGTTAACGTCAGGCTGGACGTGACCAACGGGGCGAAGCTGTTCTGGGAGACCAACGTGATCTTCGAGGGGGACGAGGAGACGGACCTGATGGTCGACGGAGGGGCCGTGTACGTCGGGGAAGGCTCCACCGTGCGCTTCCTCAACGACGTACAGATGCAGGACATCGCCATCATTAACGAGCGCGACGAGGACTCCGACTTTTCCTCCTTCGTCCGCAGCGGCGGCTGCGTATGGACCGCGGGTTACTTCCGGGTCGACGGCGAGGCGACGTTCACCGGGTGCGACATCAGCGGGGCCGGGGAGAGCCCCCCCGGGCCGGGAGGAGCCGTGTACGTCGGAGAGACGGGCTCGGTTCTTTTCAACGGGGGGGTGACCATCACCGACACGCACATCACCGACGACTTCGGCGGCAGCGGGGGCGGCATCTACAACCTCGGCAAGGTCAACATAAAGGGGGACTCCCGCTTCGAGGATATCTCGGCGAGCTCCGGGGTCGCCATCTACAACGGCGAAGGCGCGACCTTTAACTTCAGGAGCGGTGCACGGGCCTTCTTCAAGGACTTGAACAACCGTGACTCCGAGGGAAGCGCTCTGTTTAACCGAGGGTTCTTCAAGTTCTCCGGGCCAGCCCTCTTCTTTGACGCGGAGTTACCGGTGATTGTGGCCGTGGACAACAGCGAAACCATAATCTCGGAGGACTCGGCGTTCTGGACGTGGGACGAAAGCCCTGGAGACGCACTGAGCGTGAACGATGGGGCGGACTTTACGCTTCCCGACTCGGTGACCTTCGTTGGCTTTGATTAGCACCAGCAACAACTGCACTAGTGGAAGAGATGTTGGCAGGGTGGAAATGTTCGAATGCCCAGACTTCGGGGCTTCAGTTGGCTTTGAGTAACAAGAACCTCCTAGAGGAGATGAATCGGTTTCAGTTTGCGATATGGCGCGGAGGTTACGCTTCCCAACTACTTGACGACTGTTGGACTTGAGGCTTGAGAAACAACCCGCCATTTTTCAAGAGTTCCCCGACTGACCGTCGTTAGCTTTGAATATCAACCTCGCTGCCAGAAGAGGACGTTGACAGGGTGAACAGACTGCAAGGTTCGAGGAAGGTGATGCTGTCGCATTGCCCGTACCCTTCGTGGACGCTGCTGTACCATACTGCACTTGGTCGTATCTGGGTCAGGATGCCCTTCTCCGTGGTACCAAACGGCGGTGAAGTGCTGTGCATTTGTAGGTGTCATGAGAGAAGGACGGTTTGGATCGCCAGGAGAAGAAGTGAAGCGTGGCGAGACAACCGTTACGCGTTCTGACAGCAGAAAGAAGCTGTAGTTTGTGTTCGTACAATCACCGCAAGACTACCCGTACTAGGGGATTGAAGGGCCCCTCCGCCCCCAGTGGGCGCTGGGGCCCGACTCGCATTGCGGCGTTGACCATTGGCTGATGACGTAGCGTTGCGTGAGGACGAAAAACAACAAAAAATAGACTTAAGTTAATGAAAGAAAAATGTCAAGGATGAAGGGCGGTTTTTATTCACTGATTGGTGGTTAGAGGGCATCATTATGGAGAGTTTCAACATAGTCTATAGATGTAGATATAGGTCAGACGGTATCATCGTAAGTGTGCCCTACATACGCACTACCTATTCATAGGTTCAACAGGCGTCGGTTGCAAACGCCTTATACAAAAAAATCCGAGGAGAAAGGGCGAAAGGAAAATATACACGAATGTGGTGCTGGTCTTCGTTGGATACCCATCCGAACAGTAGAAGGATCACGAGACATACGTCGAAGATGTCGAAGTGTAGACTAGATGTCATTGACAATGGTGGTCGCTAGACGTATACATAACTCTAGTTTGTGTTTGCGGCCTACTACGCCACTTATTTATCGGGTGAGACTGTTTTGGTGATGTATAAACTTTGCGAGAGGTAGACGACCGTCCTTCACACGGACGCAAGAGGGAGTGCTCAAAGAGCGGCTCCCACAGCAAGGAGGAGCCCCGTGAATCATCGCGGTGCCCCTACCAAATGGCAATCTTACCAGTCTGCGTGACACCAAATCATCCAGCACTTGTATCCGACACCAATGTTCGCCGACCAACGAACACCCTCCCTGGTTCTTCAAGCAAGTGACTAACCATCAATGGGGCAAGAACGCCCCTGGATACATCAGAAAATACCAACATGGTAATGTGTGTGTGTGTTTTCGTCCTATTTATTATGGCGATAGTACCCCCATTTTTCGTGGTGAGACGTGTACTACACTTTTCAGTGTATATGGACAAGCCATAAATGGGGCTAGAACGCCCCTGGATACATCAGAAAATACCAACATGGTAATGTGTGTGTGTGTTTTCGTCCTATTTATTATGGCGATAGTACCCCCATTTTTCGTGGTGAGACGTGTACTACACTTTTCAGTGTATATGGACAAGCCATAAATGGGGCTAGAACGCCCCTGGATACATACATCAGAAATACCACCATGGTAATGTGTGTGTGTGTTTTCGTCCTATTCATTATGGCGATAGTACCCCCATTTTTCGTGGTGAGACGTGTACTACACTCTTCAGTGTATTTGTTCGCACAACTACAACCATCCAGAGTCACACAGGAGGGGGTAAACACCAGGGCTTTTTTCTTCTTTTTATATCTTTTCATGCCCCACCTTCCTCCTGCGGTGCGTGCTGAATTTTTGTTTTTATTGCGAGAAGGGTACAGCAGTACAGCCGTCCCTTTCCCTCGTCAACGGTGCTAACGTCGAAGTTTGGTACTCACGAGAGCTTGTCAGCTATATTTCGCTTTCACCCGCACATTTCGTAATTTTTTTACCCCATGGGAATTCGAACTCACGACCGCGGCGACTAGCGGATTACGAGGATACCTCTAGACCACCGGGGCGACCGGTGGTGATATATGGAGGGGAAACCGGCGTCCGGGCAACCCCCCCCCCAAAGAAAAAACTACCACCACCAAAACCGTCGCTATCTGGAGAATATGGCCTCTCCCAAGTGCTAGAGACTGCTACAGCTTTACTCCGGGAAATTCATCAACTTGCGCCGGTGGTACTGCAGACTAGCCCTGCTCAGGGCCATGGTTAGGAGGTCTGCGTGTTGCTCCGTTGTCGGAACGAACTTGACCGAAATATCCCCCGACCTAAACAATCCGCGGATGAAATGAAATCTCACGTCGATGTCTTTCGTGCGACCTGAGCTGAAGGGGTTCTGCACCAACGCTATGGCCCCCTGGTTGTCCTCAAGGACCTGGATGCTGCTACCACTGGTCTCTGGGGCAACAAACGAAAGCACAGCACGCACAAACAACGCCTCCTTGACGCCCTCCCCGGCAGCAATGTACTCGGCTTCCGTCGAAGACAAAGACACGATGCTCTGTGTCTTGCTACCTTGGCTGACTACGGTACCTCCAACCGTCGTCGCCAACCCTGACACCGAACGCTTATCCTCCGTGTCGGCGTAGCTAGCGTCTACGTACACGGTCAGCCCTAACCCCGATCCCCGTTGGTAGGTGATGCCGAGGTCCTTTCCAAGCAGCCGAGGATCTTCTGGATGGCATCCCAGTGCCTCTTCGCCGGGGCGTGGGCGTGGCGCGCTACCGCACGCACGGCGAACGAGACGTCNGCGTCTACGTACACGGCCAGCCCTAACCCCGATCCCCGTTGGTAGGTGATGCCGAGGTCCTTTCCAAGCAGCCGAGGATCTTCTGGATGGCATCCCAGTGCCTCTTCGCCGGGGCGTGGGCGTGGCGGGCTACCACAAGCACGGCGAACGAGACGTCGGGACGCGGGAACGTTGACACCCACACCATGCTGCCGATGGCCTCCCTCAACGGCCACTCCCTCCCTTCTCGTCATCTCGCTTCGGTCCTATGGGGAATTCACTTAGCTCGTGGGACGCCAGAGCCGTCTCGAAGGCGTCTGGCGAGTTGAGCATGAGGTCCACCGTACCCAGCAGGAAATCCTCCGCCTCTTGGCGCGCAGCGTGGGCCTCTTCCGCGCGCTCGAACAGCAACTCTCGCACCGCCCTCGCTCTAGCCCTCCCGCCACGTGAAGTACCGCCGAGAGCATCCAGCTGGTGACCTCCTCCGTGCTGCTGACGGGCAGGCTCGCTGCCGAGGCGAGCAGGGCTCCGGCACTTGTCGGCGACGGGGCGACTCGTACCTCGGGTTTCGGCGTGGGTTCTCCCTGATGCGGCGGCTGGTTAGTTCCGCCGGCTTGTCGAAGCGGGCGAGCCGCCGGNCTAGCCCTCCCGCCACGTGAAGTACCGCCGAGAGCATCCAGCTGGTGACCTCCTCCGTGCTGCTGACGGGCAGGCTCGCTGCCGAGGCGAGCAGGGCTCCGGCACTTGTCGGCGACGGGGCGACTCGTACCTCGGGTTTCGGCGTGGGTTCTCCCTGATGCGGCGGCTGGTTAGTTCCGCCGGCTTGTCGAAGCGGGCGAGCCGCCGGGCCTCTGGCCCACGGAGCGCCGGGAGATCCAGCTCGCTATCGCTGCCGCTGCTGCTGTCGCTGCCCCCGCCGCCGCTACCGCGGCTGCTGCTGCTGCTGCGGCGGTCGTCCTCGCCGCCGCCCACATCGGCCGTGCCGGTCGACGTGGTAGATGGGGCGACGCTCGCGCTCTCCCTGCTCGAGGGGGCGCCATCGCCAGCGTCGCCCGCGCCCGACTCCTGGGGC